AGATTATTTTATAAATAGTAAGTTTACCATCTGATATTTTTCCTAATTTTTAAATATAAGAAAAAAATGTATTACACAAGTGAAAAAAATATTTCTTTGCAGTAGTATTTTTATGAGAACCTAACTATGCTGAATAAACCAGACCAGATACAATTCAGACACCCCAGTTCTTACTAAATCTCAACAGTTAAGCCCCAGAAGCTCTTGTGTCATTAATGGAACAAAGTTTCATAATTAAGATAACTAGTATCAAACCATTTTACAGATTAGAACCAGCCTGATTCTCATAATTGAATACTCCCAACACACACACACACACACACACACACACACACACACACACAGTATTGTACAGAAATAAAGTGATTACACAACCTACACAAAGAATTACACTCCGTCTAAGGTTTTAACAGAATGGTGTGATCTCCTTTCTAATTAACCACAAATGATACTGAACTTGAAATGCTGGTCCAGCTATGCCTCTTTAAAATAGATAAAATGGAGGAAATAATTTTGTGAAACAAAAGTGCTTTGAATAACACACTGAAATAAAATGGGATACCTCCCCAAAACAGAGTTAAAAGAAAAAAAGACATTAAGACAATGAGTTCAGTTTTAGTGAGGAGATAAGCAATACACTATTATTTTAAACTTACCACAACAGCAAAGAACACCATAAAGAAAAATGATAAACTACTTGTGTAGCCAAGAAAGCCTGTAAAATAACAGTAAAAATAAAAAACAATTTATAAGGAAAATGATCCTAATGTACAGCTAAGGCTATACATCTTGGGCATGTTTTCTATTACAGTGCTTGGTATCTGGGGCTTAGGATTGAGAATAACAACATTCCAACTATCTGTCACAGATCATTTATGTAGCTCTGTACGGCAGAATTGGAACTGGCTTACCACTAATGGTACACTGTAAGGAAAGGCTGCCCTTTAATGTTCCACTGTAAAGATTTTATTTTAGTGGGGCAGACAAAATACTACTGCAAACCAAGTAATAGGTTAACTAGACAGGGCTGAAGGCTGAACAACCTAAAATAAGTCCAAGTTCAAAACTATGCACAACCACCACCCTTCTGCTAAAAATGTGGTACTGTGAACTTCCAAAGCCCCTTAATATTATTTTCTTTCTTTCTTTTTACTTTATTTTAAACAAATAATGTTCTCTTCAACAAAGACTTACCTATTTTAGGAAGAAGAGCAAGAGGAAACACAATGACAACACAAATGATTATTAGTAGTGTTTGTTCATCAAGATACCAAGACCTATTAGAAAAAAAAAATAGTTCTATTTTAGGCGCAGGACTCCAGTGTTTGTGTACACACACACACACTTACAACAAGTCTACATCCTTTTGTTAAGATATGTTCTTGTGGGATCCTAATATTATTATTAATGAATTTACATTTAAGAAATGTATCAAAATAATGAGATGCCATTTCTAGTACCAAATTAGCAAATAATTTTAAAAAATAAGATAGGCAATGTTGGTGAGGAGTAATGAGTGTACAAAACTGGTGAAAATAATAATAAATATTGGAAACAAACACCTAATACCATGACAATTTAAAAATAAATTATGGAACTATGGGATACTCATAAAAGATCACTTCATAGATATAATAATATAATGAATATTCAGTAAACATAATAAATATTTACAGCATGATTATAATTTTGAGGAAGAATACAGATTAAAAATGGAAAGGAATTGCAATAAATCAATAGACATTATCTCTAGGCGGTCAAATAATGGGTAATTTTTCTTCTTTATAGTTTATA